AGTCCTATAAAATTTGTTGGCCTTGTTATTTAGTTATAGTGCACACATAATCATTTTAAAACGCAAGTTTAATTACCAGAAAACTGTCTTAAAAATAAATTTACTAATTACTTGAAGTTATTATTAGTATTAGTAATGTATATATATTCATTGTAATAGTTATTAGATAAAAACAACTGAGAATGGCAAGTTGGCCATGAATAAGTTAAGAAGTTAAATGTTTAAAGATCTTTAAAGATCTGGATCGAAATAGATACTATCTCGTTGCTTCATAACTCGAACTATACGACTATCACAGTTTTGCTATAAATACATTAACACTAAATCTACCGAGCAGTTAACTTGACATTTTGAAATTCCTCTATACAAACTCAAAGAATGCATCTATTGAGACTTTCATTCATTTAAAATTCAGCTTGAGTATTGCTAAATCAGTTTCTTTAATAATTTCTCAGAGAAATATCTATTCTCTTTTTAATAATCGCAAAAACGAGAAATCAAGAATGGGTCATTTTGACCCATCTGGTAGTTTTAGTGTTAAAGAAAGATACTTCATAGTCGCTCCGATTGACGCGCGACTCTCTTAGTTCCGTTGTAAACGTACCCTTATACCGCTGGTCGCGTCGGGAGTCCGCGTATAGAGTCACCACGGCCCGGTGGCTCCGATCGCGATCATTTATACTGGATATTGTCGGTGATCTAATTTCGGGGCCGGTGCCAGACACCGGCAACGTGTCACGTCCGATTATGAGCCGGTGCCGAGCCACGCGCGGTTTACGATCGAGCGTGTAATTAACCATCGACAGCCGGTCGATGTTTCCGCGGAGGCGATGAGAGTTGTTGCTGTTTTGCAGCCCGGCAGATTGATGGGTCAGATGAAATTCGGGTGAAGGGCTCGATCGATTTATCGCTCGCATTAAATGTTGATCGCCACAGTTATGATCTGTATGCATATTTTTAAATTTTCGGTGCTGCAAAAATGAAATTTGAAAAAGTAATTTGTCGGTTTCGATGAGAGTTCGGTGAAGTAATAGAAGTGAATTTTGATTGTGCAACTTGTTTTCAGTGTAATATAGTAGAGGTGAAATTGCATTTAATTATTTGTTTCTTTTGTAAGTTGATAATTATAATTTTGCGCAAACAGTAGTTGTCTATTTAAATTTGAATTATCCATTTCTGATTTCAACGATGGAAAAGTTTGTCTGTATTTGATGAATTTCAATTCCTAAAATGATAAATTCTCATTAGCATTTGCCATATGAATACTTTTAATCGCCGTATAATAACTCCCAATCTTATTCACCCTCGTAAACTTAATTAACATAAAAAATCCCTAATCCACAAGCTCAAACTTACCGCAAAAAGGAACTAAAGGAGAATAGAATAAAAAAGAATCTTCCCTACAGAACACCTGAGAATGCCAGCTAGAATGGCCAAATCCTGATATCGCTGTTTAAAGTATCGAAATCTCCTAAAGATTCTTAATCCACAAGTAATCACTTTATAATATCAACCATTAATCTCATCCTTCCCACAAACTCAAGTTACTCGCACCAAAAAGAAACGAGAAGAGAAGAAAATGAAAAAGAAACTTCCCTACAGAACACCTGCGAATGCCAGCCAGAAAGGGCTAAATCCCTTCGCGGCATCGGAGCTCGTTAATATCGGGCCCCGGTAAATATTTTTACCCTGGTCCGGGGCAAACACGGGCGCGAACTTCTGCGCCCGGGGTTCAATCAGCCGGGCTTACGCGATTTCTTGTTTCCCGTTCAAAGGGAACGCGCAGCCCACAGGCGTTTCCTCCGCCGCGTTCGTTCGTTCGTTTGCGTCTCCCGGACGCAATTTCCATTTTTCAAAGAGAGGGAGGCTCGGCGACGCCAGCAGGAGCCGATGGGAACTTGACGAAACCAAATATGCGCCGACCCCGCCACCGCCGCGCTTTGATCAGCTCCTTGCTCGGAGAAAAGGGCGGCGCGGCCCGCGATCCGCGCGCTTTCCTACGCTTTTTCCATCGCGCGTACCAATCTCCGAGTTAATGTACGTCGTCTCTGTTTATGTACCTCTTCCGGGGTCCGACGCAACTCGCGGAAACATTTCCTTGCTTGGGGAATAATTAATATCGAGGTCTCGTAAGAACTGGTTGGTCGCTTCGCGACGGTCCAAAGAGGAATCCTCGTGAACCGAGATTGTAAGTGCGGTTGGATGGGTTGCAGGACCTAAAGACTTATGAATCATTGACCGTCGAATTTATTAAAGGTAACTGTTTCGAATGAGGCAAAGGTTGCTTATGAAAATGGAAGACTGAGAACGCGAGAGGGTTTGCTTGGGGCTTGTTTGCTTTTTGATAATGGATACCGAATGTTTGCGAGTGAAATTGGATGCGGGTTTTTAGGGAGTTATCGGCTGCAAAGCTTTGCCGAGAATTGGAAAAATATGAGGATTAATGAGTTTCGATGTAAATATAAACATTTATAATTTAGAAATATCTGATCGGAGGACTGTACCAACTTTAGCCTTCGGTAGATAAGAATTATTTCAATTAAAAGCTATTTCTATAAAAACCTGAATAATGAAAATCTTAAATACTAAAAAAGGAATAAACCACACTTCAATCTCTCATTATTCAAACAATCGAGTTACACACTTTAATTTGTCCATTATATACATCAAAATTCAAAGTCGCCGTTATGGCAGAATCTACCGCGAAGGATTAATTTCCACTATTCCAAACACCCTACACACGACGAAGATAAAACGCACCAAGAAACCGCAGACCGGTTCAGACAATTTGTCGTCACTGATAAAGCAATTAAATATCATCGCCGAGCCGAAATATCAGCTAATTCCGTGAATTCCTCCGGGCTGACTGGCGTGAAAAGAGAAAAACGGTCAGGTCCCTCCGGTCGGCCGGGTGCGGATGCTTTTAATAGGATCCAAATAGCCGTCGGTGTCCACGCGGAAAATCCGAATTTATGAACCGCCCGGGAAGATTTAAATTATTTAAATTTCCGAGCGGCGGCCGCCCCCGCTTTAATCCTGATTTACCACGTGGCTTTTCTTGTTACACACACGCGCTGGCCGTCGACCAGATTAACCGACCTGTTATCACGCGGACGCTTATAAAGCGTGTTCGCGGGGGCCGATAAGCAGCCGCGAGTGCCGCCCGAACTGTTCCGAGACTCGCCACTGGATAACTGACCTTTCCGGTGCGGTAAGATCGCGCTGAAACCGCGGAATGTCACCCCCACGCTTCACCCTTTGCATTCCGCAATGAAAAATCATTTATACTTTCTCGTCGATAATCCGTAATTGTATTGACGGTGTGATTTGAAAAGTACTTCGAAAGACAGGTAGTTGGTAGGCGGCAGTGTAAAGAATTATTTTTTACTAGTAACATTGGAAGCAGGGTAATTTGAATAAATCTGATGTCAAAATCAAAAGAGTTGGAAATTGAGAAGTCGATGTAACGTTAAATAACGGAAGGAAGTAATATTAGAAATTAATTCTCTGCATTATAGTTCTATGATGCTATTTACTATAGACAATGTTTCATTCTTTATAGAGAATTCCAAACTGTACAATTCAATGTTCATTCACATCAGGATCAATCGTGTCTACATTAATATTGTTAAATCAAATCCTAACTTTTCCAAACCAGAAAGCTCATAATTTTAATTCTTCAATATTGAAGACACCAGCACCCCTAGCAATTGACAAAACTCAATACTAATTGACTCAAAAGAAATAAAATATTGGAAAAATGGAAAATTGCAACGCAAAAATAGAAAAGTGCAGCGAAAAACATCCACGCATCCGAAAACTTTCCGAAAGAAGGAAACAAACGTTGAACAGAGAAAGAGAAATGTATCGGATGAAAGGAACGTATCACTCTAACCGAATCAAGGATCTGAACGAGACCGAGCCCCTCGCCGCAGAAAAGACACCCCATTACTCGCGTGTTTGCTTTAAACTCCGCGTCTCCTCGACACTTCCTTTCCCCCGGCCCGTGACTCCCGTTGAAAGGACACGGCATTAATCACCCGAAAGAAGCAGGAGAGAGCACCGAAAGGAAGCAAACTGTAAGTCCGGTTAATCGGTCTCCTAATCTCCCCGGTCTCCGGTGTCCGTGGCGATCGATCAAGAAAACCGTGTCAGGGGAGGAAAGAGTTGGCAGAGTGGCAGAGGGGGGAGGAGAGTGGACGTAGTCATCGCGATTTTTCATTTGTTTCGCGCCAGACCCAGCCTTTCGCCGGGCCGGAATAGCGTGCCGGCGCTTTATTCGTATCTCTGCACGGTTAAGTAATTGGAAGGTCCGGGGCGGTACGGTGATTTATCACCGGTTCCTTGACGGAACGAAAGACGAAGGGTTAGAGGGCAGAGATTGTTGCCAAGGCTGACCAATGATCGATCGTTTCGATAGGTGTGTCGGGCAGACCGTCTGTTGTCGGCCTTGGATCGTGATTAAGTGATTTCCGCGAGAAAAGCACCGTGAACGGGCACTATGGGGGTGGGAGAGATGAAAACGGCTGGGAGGGAGTCGAGAAGATAAAGACAGACGCGTGAAATTAATGTTTGGAAGTCGCGATTTTAATTGTGTATTGAAGTAAATCGTGAGTTTCGATATTCACGTGTGTATGCGAGATGGTGGTGGAAGGGTAGGAAGCTGTAGAGACAGATGACATGCATTAGATAGATGAAAAAGGGTTCGATAAATATGGATAAAAAAGTGATATCTAGAAATTAAAAATAACTTGTGTTTGATGATTTAATGTAATGGATTATTTATAAGAAATTTGTAAGTTTATTGTATATATTGATTATAATACAAGGGTAATGTGAATTCGTCATTGTTTATTAATTAATAGCTGCAGGGAGCAAATGTAATATTTTCATTTCCAATTTTCCGATTACATTTAATACTTGCATACTTAAGTACGTTTGAAATAAGGATCTTGACTCGTCTCCTAGGTAACTGGAGTCAAAGTTTCGATTGATTTCAGGTCAGAATGACATCAAGAAGCTGCGCAAGGAGAACGAGCAGCTACGTAGGGAGATATGGAGCCTCCGAGACGAGTACGACAAACTCGAGGACATTCTGAAGAGGCAGAAGAGTCGCGGGGAGAGCGAAGAATACGAGGTAGTTGGCGAACTTTGTGGGAAATTGGGTGTAATGAGGGATCAGTGATCGATAATTTGATATTGCAGACTGCGAAGCTAGTTGTTGTTGAAACTCGTTTCCTCTCGAGTAAATCATTTAGTCGTCTAATAGATGGAATCTCTTCCTCTTCTACTGATACGTAAACTTTGTATCAGACGTCTTTTGTTTTTACGATAGACGAAACGGAAAAGTTAAATACCTAAATAAATATCGTAAATTTTAGCTAAAGTTCGCAGAGATTGTTAGTTAAACTTTAACAACCTCAAGCTGTTCCTGTATTTCACTTTTATCTTTACTTGAAAAAACAATTTACGAAAGAATTAGCAAGGACACTTTATTATGTAATACATTATCCAGTTCTAAGAGAACCTCACAAAATATACAGCACCTTTTTTGCCCAAAAATAATTAGCAACCTCTAACTTTGAATCCTATTTTTAACCTCTAAATATATTTTTTTGAGATTCATATCGCACCTAAATTATATCAAAATTTTTTATACTTACTTAACACCCCTCGCAAGTGATTCAAGCGCAAAATCCTTCCGAATTCTAAGCAGACACTCCACGCCCGATACCGTACACCGTAAATATTCCGGCTCGGTAGAAAATGGGGGCGGAGAGTGTCACGATCTCGCCGGGGCGAAGTTTCAAAGGAAATCATCCTCAATTCCAGATCCGCTCTGACGAGGACGATGGCCTGCAGTCCGACTATTCCCTCGAGGAGGACGAGGAGTTCGACGAGGACAAGACCACTCAGGAGCCCGACCGGGATCTCAATAAAGCTGAACAGCTAGAGAACGCGGAGAACCAGAAAATCTCCACGGAAAAGATGACCAGCAGCCTGCACAGGTTGCACGTGGACTTCGACGACCTGTCGGTGGTCGAGGAGGAGGAGGAGCTGAAGAAGGAGAGGGACAAAGCGCCGTCGGAGGATGGTCAGCTGCCGAGGGAGGAGAAAAGTCCGTTTCCAATCCTTAAGCCGAGGCATCTGCACGAGAACATCCCGTTTTACCCAGCCGCGTACGAGCCACCTGACCTGACTAATTCCAGTTACTACACCGACTATCCCTTCAAGTTCCCAAGCACCGCGAATCTGATGATGACACCCGGTATGCCAGAAATGGTGTCTTCTTGCCCTAGGCTGCAGCCTGATCCTTTACTCCCTAGCCTGCCAGGAGCTAACTTGGACCAAGGTAATGATCAAGTGCTCCATGCGCCACCTGTAGGTTGGCAGAGCAACCTGACGATTTCTCAGAAGCAGATGACACCGTATGGGCCAGCTGATATAACTGGTCCATCAATGGAAACTTTCCTACGGGTCCATCAAGATCACCCGAACCAAAGTTTCCCAGTGAACTCGGCAGGGTTTCCTAACTTTCCAGGGGTTGTTCAGAGAAGAAACGTTAACCTGAAGCAACCGAATTTTATGTACAGTACAGGACCATTTGAGGACCAAGTTAATCTAGATAAGCTAAATGAAAATGGCTGGGCCTATGATGTTAATTCAGCAACTTCGAAACCTTTACTAAATCAAAGTCCAGGTGATTCGAAGACAAAGGACTCTGAAGAAAAACCTAAGCACTTTTTTGCTCCTTTGCCATCGAAAGTGAAGAGACAGAATGAAGAATCTTCACCAACGATCAGCAACTTTGGAACAGGGAGCAGCTCCTGCAGCGCTAAGACTGAATCCACAGTGGTATCTAAGAACCAACTGATGCTCCAGAAAGGTTCAGCTGATATCTACGTAAATGGAGCCGTGCCCTGCGAGGATAATCCTTTAAGAAGTAAAGGAGAACAAAGAACGTTCCTCAGTACGGACAATCTGTTGATCAACGACGAAAGGGGCACGTGTAATCAATTAACTAAGTCCATGTCGTGTCAAGATCTGCCTAGCGAGTCTCAACCAGCTTCAATGAACACCGAGAGCAGGCCTCAGATAATGACTCAAAGTGACAACACCTTAGACAACATATCAGATTCTAGACCATACAGGTCCCACTTAAGTGTCACTCTAAAGAGGCCACGTTGGAAACAAACGGTCAGCCCAGAAACACCAGAAATACCCAAACTACCAGCCATTGACTATCGACTGTTGACCAACCCTTTCTTACGGACTTTCAACCCGAACGTCAGTTACAGGGACCAGAATAACGTCACCAGGCCCCTGTCTGTCCAAGTGAATGATGATAATCCCTGTTACTACCGGGCACAACCTAACGTGCCCGCTTTCCATCGAGCCGGCCAACTAGCCGACAGATACAGACCTGTCCAACCAGATCAGAACCGTCTGTTGATCCCGTCTAATCAATTGCTCAACGGGAAACTAGTCTCGCCAGCCACGAAGCACGAGATCCAGGTGACCTCATTCGAGAAGCCGAGCCCGCACACCCTAGTTGGTCCATCGACCTCCTACGAGCTGACCGCCATGCGCCGACTGAATGCCAACCCCTATCTCCACAGCCAGAACCTCTATCAAAATATCCCATACGTTTCAAGGGGAGGCCTTTACCCTCAAAGGGGAATGATGTACTATGACAACTTAGCGCTGAAGGTTCCTGTTCAAACCCAGACCTCCATTGACGGAGAATCGCATCACGAGGATGACCAGACATGTTCCCACGAAGAGAGCGCACCTAGCACGCCCAGCGGGCAACGACGCAAGAAGACGATCAGGAAGGAGAAAGGACTACTCAAAGAACTGAATCATCTATCGCCGGGCGCGCAGAGGAGATTGAAGAACCAAAGTAGCGTCACATCATCCGAGATCCAGGAGTCACCTGGAAAGGTGACTAGGAAAAGGCCCCGGAGACTAAGCATTACGACGACCACTACGTCCGAGGGACAGGAGGATAAACACGAAAGCAGATCCTCCTCGTCCGGCCAGGACTCGCCCAAGAAGGATCAAATGAGAAGGGTGTCGCTGTACTTCAATGCAAAGAAGAGACCGTCCCTGGCGTCTGTGAGGACCGCCAGAAGTGAGAGCGTCGATACCTCAAAAGATAAAGAGGGGATGTCCGAAAGGGAGAGGACCAACTCCATCAGCAGCAGGGATACTTCTAAATCGAGAAAGGCTAGCACTAGCAGTGGCAATGTGCCTTGGTGCGCTTGTTGGGGTAACGGGTGTACGTAGGGTCTTTGAACTATGAATTGATTAGGTGTCCTCGGGAACAATGAGGTGCATTATCTACGGTGAAGTTATTTTGTGATTGAACAGTGTAAAGATTATTGTTCCTAATTGATCTTCTGATAAAGACTTACGAATTGGTAGCTTCAATGGAAGATTACAAACTTTTACGATGAATGGACAGTTTGATCAGTGTGTAGCTATTAGAAGCTTGGTACTTTAAGTGCTACGTGACAGATTGAAGTACTATAATGATATTTACAGAATCGGACAATTAGTTGAAGTGTCTCTGTGCGAATGAGGAACAATTTTTAGGGTATAGTGGTTGCAAGAAACTAACCGGGGAAGCTATTAGGAGTATATCAATGAAATATTGATCCCATGGCGACGTGCTCCGCGAGGAGGAGTATCGACCTTCGGTTTAACTATAAGGGAACCGCTGTAGCCAATAGCAGAGATCGTAAAAGTAGCACCGACAGAAGCAGGACACCATAAACCCGTTACCGTTCGGGTGACGGTCGCGACGAAGGTGGTTCACGGCCGTGGACACGCATGTCCTCGATATTTAAGGCGGACGTGGATCGAATTAAATGTCGGGATTAATGTTTAACGAGGGCCGTTTTTGACCTCCGGCCGCGCCGGAGTCCATTGAAACTTCGCCGACCTAAATTTCTCTGTATTGCCGGCCGAGCGAGATAAAAGTTAACGACGTTTTGCTGACCGGTGGCCGGAACGGTGCTCGATAGGGGATACATGCTGCGAAGAGACGATCGTTCATGCATTTAATTAGCGTTATTATTGTATGGTGTACATATTGCCGTTGGGTATACATATACGTTGATACAGTGTATAGTATAATTGGTTGTTCCTATTTATGCGCCAAGGTTCACCGGTTGCACCCAAATTTGTGTATAAAAGCATGAGAATATAACGAGTAGACACTTCTGTATACTTCTTTTTTATTTCTATGTGAATACTGCAGCTAGGTTGCAATTCTTTTTTAACAATCAAGGCCGCGAATAGAAAATTTAATATTAATAATTTTGTTACGACAGCAATTAATGTAAACTAATTATTTTCTTCCAAAGCAATTCTGAGATTAACATAATTTGTTATCTTCAAATATAGTGAATCAAAAAGAAAATTCATTATTATATAATCTCAGCTATCTTAATATTTTATTCCAAAATTATCAATGAAGATATAGCTAATAATCACCATTGCCAAGACTACTTATTAACGAACTTAGAAATCAAAGTTCATGCTTATTGAACAGATAATTAATCTCGTCTAAACAGACGATCAAGACAATTTTATGAATATAATTTAAATCGCAATAAATGGTTCTACCGATTATCATCTCGATAATTAACAATAATTATGCAGCCAAGAGTAAATGATGCAAAAAAGTTTCGTAGAGTAAAAAGAGGGAGAGAAGTGACCTTGAACGGCCAATCGAGAGTAATCCGACCAGGGGAAGCCCCGTCAAATGATCGCAAGACCCGAATGAACGATTCGCCACAAATGGTCTGCAATTTCAGCGAAGCTTTTCACCAACCACCATGAGCCGAGGAGCCAGGTAAGATATTACTGCGGATGGACCGCCGTATTTCGGGCCGAGTCATTCGTTCCTCTCTATAATTCATCGAATTATTGATTATTCCGCGGAACTTATTCTAAGAGCTCCATTTATTAATGGCTCTCCGACGAGGGTGGAGGCTAAAGGCAAAGTTCGCGAGCATCTTCCGCGTAAACTTCTGAAGCGTTCTGTGTTTCCGTTATTCCGCCGCTTCCCGCCGCCGCCACCCTGCGCAACCGCCCAGCCCGAAGGGGTTGCAGTTAGAGGAAAATTTAAAGAAGTCCGAGGAAAGGAATCGCCCGGGTAAATTGAATGCACTTATAATTAAACGCGCCGTTTTCTTATACTCCACGGGAAGGAAGTTCGGGAACTGCGAGAAAAGAACCCGGAAAAGAATTAAATCAGAGCGGAATCAGACCGAGCCTCCCTTAAGTTGAACTAGTAATAGTTAGAGACTGCAGCTGCTTTGATTGTCAGCGACAATGAACGATTTAAAATGTGTTCTGCGCTTGATCGAACGATTTAAAAGCGAGAACTTTGAAATGGTAGTCAGATTTGTCTAAATCACTAACTTAACATTTTTTTTTAAATTCAAAAAGTGGTTCTACTTGAAAAGATACATTCGCGGCGCGATGAACTGATGACAAAATCAATGTTCGTTATTTTAGAAATTATGTCCTATGAAAAGACTATTAACTTTCGCTCAAAACGACCTAACCAAGACCATTTAACAGAACATCCATAACTTCTAACAACCCCAATATTCTCCATTCAAAAATGTTCACATTCAAACAATTACCACTCACATTCCACCTTTCACCCTCAAAATTCCCACTAATTACACCCAACGCACCAAGCCACCAAACATGCCAACAAAAGTCCCCAGTGCCGAGCAAACAATCCTCCAATCACTTCAAGCAGCGATTCACGAAGAACTGATCCGTGATTAGGGGGTGACGAACGTCGCACCGTCTTCCGGAGGGAGGTGAGTTCAAAGACAGAGTAGTTGCGCACAGTTCTGGCTGGCCGGTGTATAGGTTTTCAACGGAAAAAGGCGCGGGTACGTTGCAAGGGTGTCAACGCCTGGAAAGATGAAGAGACCGGGCTGTTTCGGGGGTGGTGGTTGAAACAGGCGGAGCGGGCGCGGCGCAGACTGGCGCAATTAAAATGCAAATTATCTCTTTTCGCGCGGCCATATTTCCAGAAGAGCCCGCTCGCTACCCTACGCCGTCACCGATTAACTTGGAACTAATTTACGGGGACGACTCCGGCCGCCCCGGAGTCAGGGAAGACGTTTTGTCTCGGCGCGGATAGACCCCACCACGTTAATACGGGCTAATGTCATTTGCAAATGTCAGTCGGGGCCAGTTTCTTCGCGCTGGCAGCGTGATTTCCCGTCTACCCGGAGACGGAGGATCCGGCGAAATTGCGATTCCACCCGGAGCCACTGGAAGCCTAGCCTAGAACCGCGCCGTGTGAGATTAGAAACGAGTCTGAGACGTCGGAGGGCACTGAGCTGCTCTTGACAATGCATGAGAGAGTCTTCTGTGTCGGAACAAGAGTATTGTTTAATAGTTCAGCTATTGGATTACGTTGTCCGTGTGTTTTTAGTGGAACGGCGTCTTTGTGCTAGATGTCTGATTCAGGGATTAGGTGGAGCTATGAATTGTTTAGCGGAACAGAGATGTTTATGCAGTCAATCCAGATGTTGGTTATGTTTGCGTACTCCATAGGTTCAATGATAATGGCGGAGAATCTCGAGACTCAAGTGGAGGCATTGAAATTAAAATAGCTTTTCTTGAGTGACGCTTAATCAGACTTCCAATTGAAGGCTGATCTATCAAGAGCCATTGACGCAATTACGGTATCGCAAAAATCGAATGATTAATAAAGCAAATAATGCTGAGCAATCGGGTTTGGACAGGTCAATTAATCAAGCGGTGGCATCCTCGAGAAATACGACGTCAGAAGGAATGCTATTAATTCAGCTAATTAATGCTCAGTTAAGAGTAATTCCGGCTTTCGTAACTCGTAACTGTATATTCCATTGGTTTCTGTCATTAATTGTCATCATTGCGATCGATGTCGAAGTATCAGGACGAAATTCATAAAACTCAATTTCATAATATAAGGTGAGTCTATCTTCAAAAAATATAGTAACGTGTCGTGACACGATTAAAACGTAAATAGAAAGAATTATAATTGCCAGATCTGTAATATTATACCTTAAATTGTGAAACAGTTAAAATCTCTCCAATATTTCCTTGGTCATTGTAGTACATTCTCACAAGAGCGAACCGGATGCACGTCCACGAACTCGTTCACCATCAAGAATCGGGGAACCGAAGTGAACAAAGCGAGTCGGGTTCCAGCTCTAATTAATAGCCGGATCGAAATTTACAGTAATTGAGCAACAGGCTGCCCGATACGTCTATCGTTCGTTCGCAGAGAGGCCTAACTGTTCGGTGGCTCGATATCACGCAACAGTTCGAAGATTATCGGATGGGAATAGTATGCAACCCGACCCCATGAATTCCAATTAAAAGGCTATCGTAAGTATTTATAGGCCGAAGGCCTGGCCCCCGATATCAGCCGTTGCAACGGTCGTTAAGATGATCGGGTTTAATTACGCACCTCGTAAACCCTTTACCTGATCGTTGAGACCGGATGCCTGGACTTACGCGAAATTCGCGGGGATATATAGTTACCTGGAACAAAAAGAGAATGATCGTTAATAATGTGATCTCGATTCCCATTCAGTAACAGGTTACGTTACATAGTAAATAATCGGATCTTTTTATTTGACAATTAATAGAATGGTATACGATTACCCTAGCCACCTAGGAAATAGAACTTTCTGTAAATAGAATTAAATTGAATGGAAAAATTCAACTCAGTTTGAATGTGAATACAATTGGACAGAATTTAAAAAAAGATTTCAAGTTATAGGTAGAATTTCGTTACGCTATGGAAACTAGGCAAACATAAACATGAGAATATATTATTAATTACTTTTCATTTCTAAACCATTAACTAAAGGATTTCACTAGAATAAATAAATATAGCAATTAATCATTCAACGACAAACATTCATTTACTCCCCACTTTCTTCTCAAAACGGTAAAACTCGCAACAGTATCTCAAAATGTTCACTTAATTCCGAATAAACTTAAACCCTTAAACAAGAAACTCTTATCCGTAAGTCAACCTACAGAAATAAGTTTCGAAAAATTCGAAGTTACACAATAAACCTCATCGTGTCCAACATTCAGGAGAAACACCTCAATCCACCGCCACGCTCCATTTCCACCAAATGACGCGACAAAGAAATAAGAAATCTTATTCCAACTTTTAATATTAGATGGTAAACGTGATTCTGCGGGGTGGCACACGAGTGACCGTCCAGGGGTGAGAGATATTGCGTCCGCGAGCGGGAAATTACGCGGGAACGTAATAAAGCTTCTCGTCTTTCGACTAAAATTCTCCGTCGGGAAGAAGGAGAGGACCCGGTGTTCGAGCGAAAGAGTAATGAAACTGCTGCAAGTGTAATATGAAATAACGAGAAAACAACGGGGGCGGCCAGGATTCTTGGAGGTTCCGCAGCCCCGCTGGAACGCGGAGTGTTTGAAATTTGTTTAGCGAGAAACTTGCTGCCGCTTCTCCGTCCGCGTTTTTTATTAGAGCCAGAAAGGCCCACCGGCAGCCTCCCAGGAATATTTTATCGGCGCTGAAACTTCCGGCGAGATGTTTCGAAATTTTTTCTGCACGCTCCCTTCGCCCGCCGGGGGATGATAAACGCTTTAAGGGAATTCTTCGCGTCGATAGTCATACTCCTCTATTATTCAAAGCAATTGAGCTACGCAGCTGCAATATGTATTGTGTAGTTTCCAACGGAGATGTCACTAATTCCAATAGGAACAGAAATATTTCTGAGAGGTATATAATTATTTAAGGGTTGTAGAGTGAAGTTTGTTTTATACATTGGATTAAATATTTTGCGTGAATTTGATTGCGAAATAATTTGAATCTGAACGTTTTAAAATGCTTCAAAATTAAATTGTGCTTTTAGGTAGAATTTATTGAAATATTCGGTAGAGGTTGAACAATCAGATACTTAGAATAATTATAGTTTTATACAAAAATTATTTTTCAACTACGCAACAAAATTGTATTTTTACATTTCCAATTTATTTTTCCCTATAAACTCACCCCCATCGGTTTAGACTCGTTTCAAAAAGCTCTCCGCATTGTACGATTGAAATGCGAGTTTAAACAAACCCGTGCAGTGTCAACAAAGTTCCCGTTAATTCAATGAAGTGGCGAATTTTTTATTTACATTTCATTTCATTGATTGCTCCTATACGACACGG